TCTCTCTCTCTCTCTCTCTCTCTCTCTCTCTCTCTCTCTCTCTCTCTCTCTCTCTCTCTCTCTCTCTCTCTCTCTCTCTCTCTCCTGATGCGATAGCTCACTGGAACCAATGCAGGCGAGCAAGTCCTTATGGGATAGAACACTCTAGAATCTAGATTCAACATATCTTGAAAAGATTCAGAGAGTGTGTGATATGCTTGTATGAACAAAGGGTCTATTCCTTGAGTTTTTCTCGTGATTTCTCTGAATTTTTCTCCTTGTTTGGACTGATTTTGTTCTGTCTTCTGTCCTGGCTGGTCCTTCAGGATGTGGATGAAATTCTGCAAGCAGCTCTGGATTTCTATGGGACGAAGGGAATGCTGGATTACACCCCTATCCCATCATCTCTGGAAAAGGAAAAGGATGTGCGATTGATTGCCAGCCCACTAAAGTTCCCCGGGAAGCTGGCCACCGACCTTGCCAATGGAAGGCTGTTCATCTCTGACAGTAACCACCATCGCATTGTGAGTATTTCTCCAGCTTGTACAAAACACTTTCTTTCCTTCCTTCCCCCCCTCCTTCCTTCCCTCCTTCCCTCCTTCCCTCCTTCCCTCCTTCCCTCCTTCCCTCCTTCCCTCCTTCCTTCGTTTCTCACCTGTCCTATCCTCTCCCCCCCTCTCCTTCTCTTCTTTCCTCCCTTCCTTCTTCTCTCTAGTACCCTCTCTTCTTCCCCTTCATTTGCTTCCTCTGTCTCTATCAGTTGTGATCCAGGCCCAAGTAAGGCGCAGGCGCTAAGGATAAGATTCATAAGAGTCGTAAGATCCCAACTTTTTATGACCTGCTTTCTTTTAAAGGAAAAAAAAAGGTGCAAAAAAAAAGAGGGGGTATACTATTCGACTTCTCCTTTCTTCCTTTGTGTTTCAAGGATACGCATTGCCACTTGCAGACCACGGAAAAAACCTGAAGGTGCTGCAGAGGGGAGAAAAAGTCTTGGGGCCGTCCTTCCTAACCCTATAATCAATTGTCATGTCACATTTGTGGTTTGCGTCAGTAGCGAAGGGTCAATTTTAGCGTTGGCCCTTTTGGCGGGGGGTGCCTGATGACCCATTTATTCACATCTTGATTGAGAGGGGAGGGATGCTGAATTCTTTCTATTTTCCCCAAATTGGTGACCAGCATGCTTTGAGCTGCCATTTGGTTGCAGTCGAGTCTGGGTTCACCGGTTTCATCGTTCTAACCATGCTGTGAATAAAAATGAGCTTACCATTTTCTTCAAATTGGGGTCCAGCTGAGTCACTTCTCTTTGTTTTGTTTCCATAGAGAGCACGTGTACTATGTGCCGTACTGTTGCTCGAACCGCCACTCTCCCCAAACCTACTTTGCCGAACCTCTCTTGTTTCCCTATCCTGGGTTGCCAAAGTGAAGTGCATTTTTCAGAAAAAAAAATCCCCCACCTTGAAGTGCTTGTTTTCCAGAAAACCAAAGCAGCATTTCTGTTTGTTTGTTTTTTTTGTTTTTTTTTTCTTAAGGGGCGACGGCCTTGAGATATCATCATTGAAGCTGACCGGCCCCAGGTAATTCAGAATTAGGTTATTCTGGGCATCTGATTGTATCTGGATTCGAACTTGAGTCTGTATTTCAACAGTTCGTGGGTGTACCAACTGAGCTACTAGGCCCGTTGGTAGCATTTCTGTTTTTATTACTTTTATTAAATGTTAATAAGTTAATGTGTTAGCAACTTAGCAATCTGAGACGCATTTTTCAGGCAATGTTCCCCACCTTTCATCTGCTTGATTGTGCCAGGTTGTTACAGATCTAAATGGAGAATTTATAACACAGATTGGTGGTGCCGGAGGGGAAGGGCTACGAGATGGTACCTTCGAATATGCTGCCTTCAATCGGCCACAGGTAGATAGACGGTCCTCAGCCCTTCTCTTCAGATGTATGAGCAGTGAACGTACAACATTGATGAGGGAAGGATGAAATGAACTGCTCTCTTGGAGCACACACACACACACACACACACACACACCAAACACACACACACCACACCACACACACACACAGACCACGGGCTGCTCTTTTGGAGCACACGGAAGTAATGCGGAAGCTTCTATGGTGTTTTAAGTAGTAGCGCTTCTGATGTCGCATGGAGACCTCATGGAGTTTGGGATTATGGCACTCTATACACTCCAGGGGCCACACAGCAAATCGAAGGGTGGTCGTCCAGCCAGGGTGTGATGGAGATGATGGTGACGTGAGTGGGTAGTTTGGGATGAATAGAAGTGTCAGTGTTGTGGTATTTGTGCCAATGGTGGCTTTGTGGACCTCTCTAAGTTTTCTTAGACCACTTGCGGGCGTGGTCAGTCCCTTCTTGTTAGTGGAGCCCGTTGTGTTGTGGTGCAACTATGTTTTTGTGTTCAAATTGTCGTTTGTTAAGTATGCTGCCTCTTGCCGTCCATCTTGTTATTGGATTTGTAAGGAGTGATCTCTACTCTTCGCGAGAAAGACACTGAGCTCTATCAACAGGTTGGTGTTCGACGGCGCTGGATCGTTCAGAGTGCCAATGAAGTGGCGATTGACGTGAAAAACAATGCATCGTCTCTTCGTGGCCTCTCTCCTCCCATTGCTGATTTTACCACAATGTACACCAACCTTCCTCATGACCGCATTCTGAATAATGTGGCAAAAGTTGTTGATGAAGCCCATGCTTAGCCCTTTGGCAAGCTCGCACACATTCACGATGCGTTGCCCTCAACATGGTTATTTGAGGACCCCGCTGTGGCCAATGGACAACTGGTTCAGGCCCAGATACCCTTTCTGTTTCTCAGATTCTCCAACATCTTCGCTTTGTTGTACAAAACATTTTTCTATACACGAGAGATGACATGCTTCGGAAACAGCTTATTGGTATTCCAATTGGAACGAATGCTGGCCTAGAAATTTCTAATTTGACGCTGTATTGGGATGAAGTACGCTTTGTTGATGACATTTGTCAACATGATCTTCTAGCTGCTCAGCAATATGCCTTCACCTATCGCCTCATCGATGATGTTCTTCCATGGGGACAATTACCTCCTCCACCAGAGCACTATGGGCTTGAGTGGAAGGAGACTACAGCTACAGATGGCTCCTTCACCTTTTTAGGTATGCATCTACGGGTCCGTTCCGATGGCTCGCTTCGCATGAGCGTCTTTGATAAAGCGGCTGCTTGGGACTTCCCTGTCATTCGTTATCCAAGTGCGACCTCCAACATCCCTTTCCATCATCCGGGTGGTATGTTCACTGGGCAATTGACCAGATTTGAACAAATCTGTAACAAATGGCAAGACTTTCAAACTGCGGCAACAACACTTACTCGTCGTATGCTTTCATGTGGGCATTCCCCACCAACCCTTGCTAAGGGGTGGACCTGCTACATGCGCTCCCGCCAATGTTGCTATCCTACGCATGTGACGTGTCTCTCTCAGTGGTTCCGACGCATGCTGCAATGGTCCTTGTATTATCCAATTTCTTCTTCACCCCAACGATTCTCTCGTTCTGCCCCTGCTTGCTCATCTGCTGCTACTGCAGTTTCCACTGTTGCAGTCTCCACTTCAGCAGTTTCCACTGCTGTAGTGTCCACTGTTGCGGTTTCCATTGCTGCAGTGTCCACTGCTCCAGTTTCCACTGCTCTAGTTTCCACTGCTCCAGTTTCCGCTGCTGCAGTTTCTACTGCTGCGGTTTCCACTGCTGCAGTTTTCAATACAACAGTTTTCCTAACTGTGATTCCCCCTACTTCAGTTTTTACTGCTACAGCTTCCTATCCTTCAGCTCCAATGCAAAGAACATCACAATCTCTTCGACGCTCACGTCGTTTGCTCCAGAATCTTGCCCAATCCACCCCCCTCTCATCTTTGTATGTGCTTGGCCGTAGACGGCTGCGTTCGTCCTCACCACCCCCATCTCCTCCACGGTCTCGCTTGTGAACCGACTCTCCAGTTTCCATTGTTCCCGTTGTTCCACCTTCGTTGCTAGGTACACGTTCATCTTCTGTTTGCAACACCACTACTCCTCTTGTTGTGTATTACCGACGACATTTGCGGCAGTGTCACTTGTCCGGGGATCAGCAACCTGTTTCTTTGTCTGCCCCGATTCTCTATGTGCCTCCTCCACAGGTTGTTGCGGTTCCTTTGTTTCGAAGTTCAAACGACAATATCCGCTCATATGCCTCCTGCAGACAGATTAGCTGCCTGTAGGCAGCCACGGTACCCCGCGGCATTAGATATTCACGACTCACTTGTACAGCACGATGTGGTCCCTGCCCAGAGTACACTCCCGACTCCAGGTACAGTCCCTACTCAGGATGCAGCCGCTGCCCAGAGTACACTCCCGACTCTAGGTGCAGTCCCTACTCAGGATGCAGCCCTAAACGTTGAGGGGTTGGAACATGATCTGCCCGGATTGCAGTTGATCCCACAAGGCGTAGACCACATGGGGGATCTGCAATGGTTGACCAGCATTGTTCGGATGAACCACAATTTTGTGCTCCGACACGCACAGACCACATGGGTGATCTGCAAATGACTGACCCGCAAACAACCCAACACAGTTTGGGCTTGCAGCACCATCTGGGTGATCTGCAAATTGTTGGCCAGCATCTAACAAACCAGCCTGAGAACCTCACCAATCTCTGTGGTCTGACAACAACTAATATCTGTCTTCACAGCTTGATGCTGATCTTCCCCAATTACAGCCAGAGGATTGTAATTATATCAGCGAAGGAGGCTTTACCATTGATGTCCTACAAGTAGCAATGAGGGACCGTCAACTTGAACTACGGAATGCTCGAGCAGGTGAGTGGTTTAATCCTCCATCCCACATCTCTGCCTGCGTTGTGCACGGCTGTGTCCATTACATGGCCATTGTACATGCCTCTGACCACTGGGAGCTGTGGGACAACGGCACCATGGTCCATGCCATGATTGATGTCACTGATTTCTTACAAAATGATGCTGTTTTCTTGCCACAACAAACTGTCCACAATCTCTTTTATGTTGAAGATCATTCCTCTGGCCCCGTGCTGCAGCAAGACAACGTACCAACACTCTGCGACCTTCCCCTTTGCACAGCCACAAACACTGTTACACTCGGCTGTAGCCGCCATCGTCTCTTTCACAATCACTACAATGACATGGTTTCTGCATCCATGTGTGCAGAGGACTGTCCCACTGTTCCTGACTGCAGGCACCCTCCGCATCCGAACACTATATGTCCATTTTTTGGCCATGGGCGCTATACTGAATGCATGCTCTTTTGTGGTGACCGTTCTTCTTTCATTTTGGCCTGCAATCGACATGCCATTTGTCGGGGGTGTATGGTGGGCATGATCAATGCCACCCTTCGTGGCAATTGTTGCACTGGGAATGCTCAGCTAGGTCTTCCATGTGTTCCACCTCATCCTTACAATGTATGTCCTCTCTGTCGTCAAGGACAGAATCATTCTTGAGCCTTTTCTTATCCTCTTTTGCCTTCATCTTCACTCCACTCTCTATACTTTCCCTTACTTTCCCTTTGTCGGTCTTTGTTTGCCTGCTCTCCATCTCTCCTTCCTGTGTTTATCCCCTCCCCACTCTGCCTCTTTCTCACAGCGTACAAGTGGGCTGTTATGGCACACGGGGATGGGGGCAGCTCGCGCTCAACGTCATCAACGTGGCGAGCCTTGTACGTGAGAGGCACGGTGAAAGGGGAGTCAAAAGAAGAATGAGAAAAATGAATGGTTTCTGTGTGCCCTTCAGATCAAGCATGATTGCGCCAAGTTGAATGCAGAATCCCAAAGCAGAATGCACACCAATTAGGAGCAAACAGAATACTCAAGTCTCTTGATAGAGAAAGGCCAACTTCTCACCTCCAATCATCACTGCCAGAACAACGTAGTAGCCCTACTGCAGTATGACCACCCTACCGTACTTCCTACCACCTCTCCACACGCTAGCCCTCGCTCTCTGTGAACGTGCCACTCGCCCAATGCCGCTTGAAGAGTCTGCTCACAAAGGCTTCCGCCGCCAACACCAGGAAAGAACCTCCAGTCCCCGCTGCCTTCCTTCTTCCGGACCTCCCACACTCTGCGACTCTGTTTCCTCTGCCCAGCTATGGCACCGCAGCTGCGCACTTCCAGCCACCGCAGCTGCTCTCTCCCTCCTGGGCTGCTCTCGTGGATGTCGCGCAACAGCACTGCCACCTTGCAGCAATCTGCCCGAGTGTGCCCTCCTTGGTGGCCTCCTTGCTTTTGTCCTATAGTGGAGGTAGCGTCCAGACCCAGTAGGCAGTGCCTGTGGGGCCTACTGGGACCGGGACCAGGTCCAGGTCCTAGCCTCTGGATCTAACTTGCAGGCTGGGCCTACTGATTATTAGTAACAGGGTCTGGCTCCTGCGCCCAGAGGCCCAAAAGACCCATTTACTGGCCTTCACTAATAAGGGCGGACAACATTTCCTCAGGCCCACCTTCACTTAGAGCAGCCTGGTCCTCTTCTCCAGCGGGTGACAAGGAGAGCTGGTTAACAGAGACCCAAATTTTCAGCTTTTTTTCAAAGCTATTTATAAGAAAACCCAAAGGCGTCTTTAAACAAGACTTGGCAGCAGTCCATAGAGTGGACTCCATATTGGCCAAAAAAAGGTTTAGAAAACGTGGTTTCCGCAATGACAACAGTTCACCCCATGACCCACTGGTGGTGGTGACAAGAGCCGTGGACGCCTGGAGCCTCATATTGCCCACCCCATGTCTTCTCTCCAAGTGTAGCTGGTTAGGAATACAGCCTGTGGCTGAGTGTACAATGCTATTATACAGGCTAGCAATCTGCGGCAGCTTAGCATCCCAATCAAGTTGATCAAGTTTAGTGTAATGCCGTGGAAGCTGCTCAACCAGTTTGTTCATTCGCTCTACCTGGTTGTTTGTCTCAGGGTGGTTACCTTATGTCATTTTCAGCTCAGAACCTAACCTAACTTCTTAGCTATGTTCTGCCGCAGTTCGCTTGTAAATCGTACATCTCTGTCACTTACAATGGTTCTTGGCAGTCCAAAATCCTTACCACAGTGATTAACAACCTTGGTGACAGCCAATTAGTAATTATAGCGTACCAGTCATGCAGACTTCGAAAATCTATCGACAATTATGACAATCAGAAATCTGCTTATTTCCTTACCTGCTGATTGCGAGAGTGTCCATGAGGTCCATGGCCACAGACTGGTCTGGTCCATCAGGAACAGGAATAGGAATAGGAAGAGGGTTGATTAAGCTGAGGGGAGCCTGGGTATGAGGCTTGTCTCTTTGACCAACTTGACGACAACTCTCCACATACATTTGATTTGAGGGCCACCAGAAACGCTGCAACATATTAGCACGTGTCTAGTTTTTAATGCCGAAGTGGCCTGACCCATCCACACACATACTAACCATAACAGATGAAGAACCCACCAGTGACTCCCCTCGCCCCACACC